TGTGGTCAGATAAGCTTGCATTTCCATCTCCTCCGTTTTCATTTAATTTCCCATAAAGCTGCGCTAGTGAGCCATTCATAGGTCAGCCCTGCTTATCCCAAAAGCCTGGATCTAAAGAAAATCCTTGCAGTTGCCCCAAACTGGTCATATTATATCCAAACCCTCTTTCTGACCTTACCCTCGATTTTTTTCCCCTCCAAGAGCAGAAACAACCGTAAGGCACTGTGGCACATAGTGGCATTGCTGTAAATCCCATACCCAAGTCCCCCAATAGCTTCTTGCTTGGCTTAGCCCACCATCCTCTAGCCCTTGTGTGTAGGACGGTGCAAGCATGCCAGGTCCGTGACCTCCTGAATCCAGACACCCCTTCAAAAATGAACCCGGCTGCTCCAAGATGTGTCTTACCCAATTCACGAGGGAAGACAGACGCTGACCAGGAGAGCAGATTGTGAGAGGCAAAGGGACGGAGGCCTTTTATAGGGTTCCAAGTCTTCTCCTTGTAAATGAAACACTCTGCAGGAACGAGGACTAAATTATTTATTGGCAAAACATCCCCTCCATTTGGATGCTGTTCCCAGCGCTTGGCACGTTCTGCTTGACTCATGATTCCTGATAAGTATCTCTTAATTATAATGCAGTTACTGAGTGGTGCACATAAAGGTCTCACATCGTTTAAGCCACACATCGGCTATGTGAGGCAGGTAATAACGTACTTATTCACCATCTCCAGAGGACCAAGGAACTGAGTGGAGGCTGACGGGTGACCTGTGAGTCAGGAGCCGTGATGTACACCAGTGCTAATGTCCCAGCCTTCCCCTTCTACTACCCATGAGGAGCATTTCCAGGTGCCTTGAAGCACAAACAGGTGATTGGGAAGAGCCAGCTCAGAGTCACCAAAAGCAAATCGCGCTGATGGGTTTCGGTGATGAAGAGGCTGGCTCTGTGGATGATGGAGTGTGAAGGATTGGTGCTACCTCAACTTTTGTAATGCTTTTGGCACAGTCTCCCATGGCAGCCTTGTGCTTAAGCTGGTAGAGATATGGACTGGATGGGTAAACTACATGGTGGGTGAAAAACTGGCTGCTACTGGTGCTGGTGCTGTTTAACATCTTCATTAATGCCCTGGATAATGGGGTGAACTTGGCAAATCTACAGGTGGCACCGAATTGGGGTGAGCAGCTGAAAATGCTGGAGGATGGGACCTGGGCAGGTTGAAGAAATGGTCCTGTGGCTGGGATGGACCAACTCGGGGGGCAGGGCTGGGGTGGCTGGAGAAAAGCAGCTTGGAAGAAAGATGGACCAAAGCTGACCTGGAAGCACTGATGTGAGGGCTAAGCTTTGTCTGTGGGCTCTGAGTCTGCCCCTTGGGCACTGCACTGGG